CTTGACCTTCTCGCCACTATCCTGCTACTAAAACGGCACAATTCTGCCATTTATATGTAAAACGCAGAAGTACCTTATGTTATCGTTGTGAGTGGAATGACATGAATTATTGAGCAGGCAAGAACGCGCCAAGTGATCAACTTGCATAAGATAGGACGGGCCAGTGAAACGATTTTATTGCGTCAAAGTCGTGAGCGGTGCGGCAACATCACACGTGGGCCATGACCAGAGCAGGACGCGAATCATTAACAAATCCTTACATTTCACCTGTTTCTTCAGTTTTCGCTCGTTCAGGTCAAATTGATCAATAGACGATTCGTACGGCAGCATTTTGTGTGAGGCAATCCATCCATCGCACACATAATGATAGAAATCGTCACATGGATTAACTGATTTGTTAATAGATGAACTTAAATCTGGATTGCTGATAAGCTCATACGGTGGTTTCACTTTCTTCCGCTTGTCAATTTGCTCTCCTGAGTAATTGTCTTATAAAAACAATGAGTTCTGCGTAATACAAAACGTCACTGATTATGATCGAGACGTTCCGGAAATGAAGTCAAGACATGCAACAGTAAAAAGGAAAAATGTGTTTTAAACAAAACGCAATGTCACGCACTACTTGCATCCTACGGAAGGGGTTAAAAAAGCAACTGCCTCATTTCGCCCTGATGAAATAGTCAGGACATCTTAAAAAAACGTGTAAATTTTTTGGCGGGAAACGATTTCGAGAACCAGTCAACACAGGAAACTGAAATTTCACAGGAATATTCCTTGTCCTTGCGTGAGCTAAAAATTTCAAATTCAACTAGCACGTGCTCCCACGTCATAACACGTCAAATTTCGTCTTTGGTATGGTATCAATTCGAGAATAGGTGGAGAAAGATAGCTGTGGTTTTGCGATCCAGGATAGCTGTGATTTTGTAAGAACACTTATCACTAAACTGAGCTTAGACTGCGCCTGTATCATGCGTAAAGAAAAGCAAAATGACAGTATCGGAAACCGGGCAAATAAGAAAGCTGAAGTTTTACAAGAGTATTCTGTGCCCTTGTATTGGTTGAAAGTTTTAAATTCAGCTTCGAGGGTGCATAGATCCCACACAGTGCGCTAGGGAAATTTGGCATCTATCTACTCTGCAACCGAACTGATCCAGCACCTGCAATTTTACAAGGATATCTACTGCCCCTTGTGCAAGCTCTGCACACCGGTCCATCAGATGTTCAGTATGGTAACATTTTTATCGCCATTCACTCCCGGTAGTCAGATCGTCAAGAAAGCAAAAATTTTACGAGAATAGTGGCGTGTCTTGTACGCTACTAAATCGTAAAATCAGTTTTCACAAATGCCAAGGTCTTGCACATGGATAAAACAAAATTGCTGGCAACACTTACATGCATAACTCACGGTAATCCTGCATCCTGGGGATTGAGATATTACGCTATCCCAAGGCGAAGCACTACAGCTCCAGCTGTTAGCCGACACTCCTCTCTCATTGCATGCAGTAGATGACCAGCGACTTTGTTAACATGAGTGCGCGTATTAAATTGTAAAGCAGCAAACCTTCTGCTGTTAACAGTTTGACTACTTCAAGCCTAGTAAAAAAAGCACGAAAGTACCAGAAGCCCACACCCTTGTTGACAGCTGGGTCGCTTTTCATCAGCTAGGAAAAAACATGTAAGGGCTGAGTCCAAAATTTTAAATCCATTGCTATGTGCTGAGAAGTATGGAAGAGAATTAAGGAAATGGCACATGTTTTAATTCTAGGGCACTTTTTGGCAAAGTGCGTTATACTAAGAGAATGCCAAAACGAAGCCGTTTGTTGCTGAAAGATGAATGGCTCGCTGCTGGCACCAGCAAACTTAAGGAAAACTAGTTTCAGGATTTGCGAAATTTTCTTGATTATATAGTACAAAAGAATTAAGGAACCTTGGTCAGAATTCGAAAGTGAGAAAACATCAGCTTTGATAGTGACATTCTGCGCAACGAATGCTTCATTAGATAACTTGATCCTTCCAGCATTCAGTGTCATGTTCTTGGCCGAAAGGATGATTCGCTTTGGCCTGCTGATGACACTTGCCTTCGATATGATGCTACAAGTCCATATTGCTGCCATATAAGTGATAACACTGAGCACATTCGAAAGGACCATCTAAAATTTTGGAGACTTCGGTGCACTTTTTTTAATATCCAAAGATTTTTAGTTTAGTGAAATTCAATTCGATTCATATAAGCTAAGTTATCTGTTACACAAAACAGCTAATATAAGTTACGGCAGATTCGTAATCAAATACCTGCAGCGGCATGCTGCAGAATTTGCGGCCGGATCATATCTGTTTTACACAG